TCTCTCTCTCAACTCCCCGTATTCCGCTGTTTTATACATGTACCTCTCTTTCAGTGAAAACTTATACTGGCACCTTGATGGCAAGCAGGTATGCACGCTTCTTTCGTGCCTCGATAGCCGCTGGGCAGTTTAAAACCCCTTTTAAAGAGAACAAAAAAGACAAATTCCAGAGGGGAAAAATGCCGGCATCAATGGGATTTCAGGGTGAATTTATTTCTCAGACCGAAATTTTCGAGTGTTGATGTCATCCAGGCATCGGTGAGATTTTATCAATCATAATGCAGGCGTGGAGGCAATGGAGAACAACCAATACAAGGCCGCTAGGCTCTTCTTCTCCACTCGCGTCATTTCCGTTATGAATAAAAAGCTTCTGGAGAATTTACGATCGGGTCTGTGACGATGATGTTCACTCGCATCAACATGACAACCGCCAATGAATAGTCTTTTATTATAGTGCGCTCTCAGACTGGTCGTTCGTCTCTGGTGTAAAAACCAGAAGAGAAATTAAAATTCATGGGCTTTTTTGGAATTTCAACGGGCGGCAGTTGAAATCAGGGAATTCAATTGAGAATAATGAGTTAGGGTCTCTTTATCAGAATTTAGAAAGTTTTTCCTTTGTTGTTCACATTATTTTCTGGCGATCGAGCGATTTTATCGGAGAATCGCTCGATAGAGGAGGAAATAACAATGGAAAATACGGAAATCGTGATGGAAAAGAGAAAGCTGGGAGGAGGAAACGCAGGGACTTGGAGATAAATAAATAAAGAGGCCCTTGTCACTCTGGAGAAGACGAAAATTTAAGGGAATTTGTTATTTCGAGGAAAATATTAATGTTATTGGGAGGGGAGGGGAGACTCTATGAGTCCGTCTCATTTTTCCTTTTTTCTCTCTTTCTCATTTTTGTCCAAACCAGTTTGACTGTCAGAACCTGAACAAGGATACCTCTGTAGTAGGATCCTGACAAGTGATCGAACCGCTTTTTCTATAGTGGTTTGCAGGGGAGAAGAAGTCGGAGAAAAAAGTGAATGAAAAAAATAAGCGGAAAATAAAGAAAATAATTCACCAAGTTGTTTATAATTTAATATCGGCAACGGAAAATGTGAGTCGTTTCCTCGTTTTATCATTTCTTGCGACTAGATCTTGAGAATGATTATGTTGTAGTCACTGATTGATAAAGGATCGGGGTATGTGCATTAGGAGAAATCCATCGGTCCAGCATAATGAAGAATGTTAATGGCTTCTAATGTCTAGTTATTTCGAGAATCGAGTCTCGCTTGTTGATAACTCCGAGTGATACCGAGTGCCTGTGGACGAGAGGCCGAACTCATTCTTGAAATAGGTGAAATGAATATTTCAGTATCTAATCTTCGATGGTTTATCGCTCGGGGCCTTAGAAAAACATTTGGAGAGTATTGTCAGGGTAGATGTATGGAACTTTCTCAATGTTGAAATTTTTTTCAGTCAATGTTCACGATAAACTCGCTAGCTATTCCATTTCATAATTTTTTCAACAATGCGCGGCGGCCGTATTCAATGGAAAACGCGTTGGGTTACGTTTACCAGGAAGAAATAAGAGATTGTGTTCCAATGCATGTGGATTACATGTCCATATGTCCAAAGAGTAATATCGTTTCTCGGGGAATGAATGAATCGGGGGACTTTTGTTCTGCGAATGAGGGGCGTTGGCGTTATCTAATGAAATTATGAGTCATTTAGTTCGTGGCGTTGAGCCGTTTTCATGAGATGATTATTTTAGGTGATTTATCTTCGACGAAAGTGTTGTTGAAGGCAGTAAAAAAATCGAATGAATTACTTTGTTCGAACAGACCTGTTCTTCGTTGTGAAAATGAAGAAATCGAATTTATTAAACTTCATATTCTCATTCATGTTCTATGAATATTGATAATGACTTGAAGAGAATTAATAGGATGGGGGGTGAAACATCAATGAATAATTGTTAATCTTCGATTCTTTTTTTTTACTTTTTAAAATAATCGGATTAAAATCTGTAATTGTTGAAGAATGAGGGGAGGGCCATGAATTGATTTCCTAGAAAACTGAAAAAATTTCTTGAATTCTTCGGAAAATTTCACAGCTTTCCAGATAACCGTAGATCTTCAAAGATTTTTCTCGAATTATTTGGGAAACCGAAGAATTTCATGAGAAGTTTCTTGAAATTTTCTAGAAAAATTCTGATATGAGTACTGAAAAAAATCACAACAGAAATATGGGGAAAAATTGACGTTTTCCGAAATAAAATTCCCGTGCCAGTACTGGAATTTTTCCCTGGCGGTCACTTGCGCCTCTTTTACCGTGCTAGCACTAAAATTTTTCTAAAAAATTTATCTCCGTGTGGGAAATTCGAGAAAGAAGGAAAGACCATGGACGTATCCACGTGCAATTACAGCGTACTAATTTTGCGCGTGAAAAATCTCTCACCAGTGAAATTTTTCACCAGAGGGGAAGCCACAGATATTCCAAAGAATATCGCGAGCTCGGTTGGCCCAACACAGTGTTCGTAATGGCGCTGTTGTGCGATGGTAGGGATCAGCTCGGGTTATCGTGGTAGTGGTTAACTACCGTACATCAAGGCCATCCACTCGTTTCCTTTTTTTTCGGGGGGAGATCATTTCTCGGACACCATCATTTTGCATCTATTCCTGCAACACAACCTCGATATACTCCGGTCTCCACCGAATTCATTGACAATTTCTCAGATCTAAAAATCCTGACAACAAATCCCAAATGAACCCCTCGATGCCCGATAAATCCCAGATATTTTCTCCCACTGAGTGTTTTAACTGTAATCTGAGACAAGTGAATGGACTGAGATTCCTTTCGAGTGTTTATTACACTAACGCAAATGGTCTTTCAAGCACAGGTGGAAGGCACATGCAGAATGGAGTCACGGAATCTAAGCCAAGGCAACTCCACTCCCTAGAAAATCAAACAAATATCATTAGTACTAATTTAAAAAGTCTTATTTTATCGTTAAATCCATTTTACTCCGGTGAAATTGTCTCGACCCGATCTACGGTGAAAATAAGATTGAACGATTCAGCAGGAAAAGTATTATAAATAATCCATCTGCGTCGTATAGGTGCACCTATACATCATGTGTCTTCTCTCCCTTTTCGTGGAACAACGCTTTCACCGCCTTGTACGTGTCACAAGTCGCGTTTCTCACATCTCGTCATTCAAGGGGAAAGATCCACTGATTACACCTTCTCGGGTGAAGAAAAAAACGGCTGAAATTAGCGAGAGATTCGCCAGCGGATGATTTGATTTAGGTGGATCTAGGGGTGATTAAATATTTTTAGGATGCGATTCAGACAAGTCAGCCCGCACGGAAAACAAATATATGAGACATATATATCAGTTACATTCACATATATGTGCACCCATATATTCAACATGTATTTTATATACATCATTTTTCGCCAAAAATATATTTAAAATATATAACGAACATATATCCCACGAATAATTGTTCTCAAGCTTGAAAAAAATCCTGAGAAATGAAAAAAAAAATTGTGCCCTGCAGTTCTCGATAAAAATCACTCGACAAAAAGGAACTTTGTGACAATCTGGTTGTCACGGGTTGACTTGAGATAGTTCGTGGCGATAATTAGAGAAAATTAAAGTCATTTTGGTGTTTTTGAGTTTGAAGACCGTCACAATTTTATTAAAAGAATTAGGATGATGTGAATAATAAAGCCATGTCTATTATCAACATCCGACCCTACCACAAAAATTAAACAGACAAATGTACATTGGAATGGTTGACGAGTATTCCCGCAGGGCATCTTTCACCACCATCATTACGATACTTGTGGAAATTCAACTGCCGGTGTAATACAACTATTGCCCCCCAACGTCTTGTAGCCAATGGCTTCTGGTCGCTCGTAAACTTTCACCGCATACAGCCCATTCCCTCGAACTTTCAGTACGCGTAACATTTACAACTTGCCCCCTCCCTCCCCCCCCCTCCTCTTAAAAATTAATATCACTCATTTCTCCCGTGAACGGGTAGAAATTAATAAGGAATATTAAATATATCTCGGGTGAACGAGAGAATGCGATGAGGAAATGGTAATTAATATCTGGTTGATGATTAATGATGTTTCATTAATTTAATTAATTGAATATTCAGGTTCAGAGGCTTGCGGAATACGAGAGATACTTGGGCCACGAAAGCCGTGATTTATCGTCGTCAAGTACAAACATAACAAGTGGAGTACCGCGTGGACAGTTGGAGGGTGACCTTCACCGTATCCAGGATCTTTTTCCCAACGACAACTTGCGCCTACATGAGAGAGACGTACTCACTACGGTAAGCCATATAATCCATACACGCTGTGAAAAGGCATTACACTTCTTTGTACGTAGACCTTTAAAGACTATTACAACTAATTGTACTTTGAGTCAACTCAGAGCACTCCAATCCCCATTTGTCGTTAGCCAGCGTTGAAGTCTCTATCGTTTCTAGGAACACAACTTCATGGGTCTTTTTGTGGGTGAGGTTCTTACCGAGGGATTGAGACTGTCCACGTGTGTTAGGGACTGTGACTTTGTTGTTAATGCTTGGGTAAATTACTCCGGGGAAAAAGTATAATTTTTTTGTCGGGGGAAGGGCTTTGCTGGAAGTTGCAGGAGTTCTCGGCTGACTTATGCCTTTATACTATAAAAATCAGAATTTATTTCCGCAGCGGAAGGGGCGTGAAAAAATTTGGAAGAGATCTTGAAAAATTCGTTCATTTTCGAAGAACTCGGGGCCGCGAGTTGAACATGATCTGAAAACCATAATTAATCTGAGGGATGATGAAAAGTACGAGGTGGTCAACAGTTGTGAGGGCCGCCATCTTGATTGACACCCTCTCCCTCTACTGGAAGGGGCTTCCAAGATGGCGGCGCTCCCACCTCGTGTTTTCAAACATTCCTTAAAATGATTTATCATCACCAAATCACTCTCAACCCACTCCATCCAGTTTTTATAGAAAGAATAAATTTTTTAAGCCATCTCCCAGTTTTTTCCATCCCTTCTTGGCTGAGAATTAATCTCTCAAATTTTTTTGTCCCCTCCCAAGGCGTCTTATGGTTAATAAAGTAAGGATTAAGCAAATAGAAGAAAAGCCTAGTCAACTGATTGACTCACCCACACGACCACTCACATTTCAAAGAGGATTACGAATCATTAGAAACAATAATTCATTCCTGCCTCGCCAAGGCATGCTGAGAATAGCAAAGCACACACTAGGGTTTGCCTCATTGCAACGTGCATGCCACTTGCTCATTCATCCATCCATTCGTCGTGATATCCTTGAAACAGCATGAATAAGAAATACCATTTCCCATGTATCTCTCACACCTAATACGTAAATTCCAAACTTTTGGATTAACAGAAACCGAAGAGTCTGGTGAGAAAGAGGAACGGGACGAATGCAAACAGATTGAGTCGAGCTTTATCCCAAAAAAATCTTCAGAACATCGAAGCACAGTCTTCCGTCCCGAAGTCACCGCCCAGAAAATTTCTGCTTGAAACTCCAGTGCAATTTACGACAGTAAGTCAATCTGAAAAAAAAACTGAAAATTTCCTCATCATAAATTGTCATTTGACTCGCAGGGGATGCAATCGCAAGATAGACATCTATTTCTATTCTCTGATCTCCTGCTCGTCGGAAAGTCTCGAAGTGGCGGGACATTCAAGCTCAAGCAGACGGTTAAAATGTCTGAGCTTTGGATAACGGCGGGGCACATCGAGGATGTCGCGGAGACAAATAAATCCCAGGAAACGAGTTTTGTTCTCGGCTGGCCAACGACAAACGTTGTTGCCACATTTATGTAAGTGATAGACTTGAAATATGAATCACTTTGCACCTGCATCATGCGTCAATTATCCCGAGTTTTTTATTACCATAAGTAGTCACTGCGCATTCAGCGAGCGTTAAATTCTCATTGTTGTCTCCTGAGGAAGGAACACTTATTCCTTGACACTCGTCATCGGGGAGTGGGTGGCTCATGTTATTTGTGATTGCAGGACGGCAGCGGCTAGAGATCTCTGGTGGACCAAGCTCACCGAAATCATCCGGGGGGAGAGCATCAAAGAGCCAGCGGATACCAATATACAAGTGGTTTATCACGACAGTGATACCAACACCGAATATGTGAGTGTCAAATTAAAGTATTCTTTAATTACCCCCGATGACAAACCAGAGGGAGGGGTACACTGAGAACAAAATTTATTCCTTCCAAGAAAATGTTATTGGCGATATCTTTTTCATACTCTTAGTAGAAGAAAATATCTCTTTTGGAACGTATTTCTCCAGGCCAGTCATTTCCAGGTGCTCCGAACTCAGTTCCAAGCGTGAGAATTATGGTGATCTATAAGAATATTCTTCTGCATATGACCTCGAAGAAACTCCCATAATAATTATTAACATTTGGAATTATTCCAATTTTCTTTACCTGAGAAAATCGCCAATTTGTAAAATCCGGAAGATATCGGAGAACATTTTGTCAAGGTCATATGTAGCATAATAATCAGATTGTTCAATATCACTGTAATTTTTGAGGATAGACTTGGACTCTCTGAAAATGACTGTCCTGGAAAAATTCGTTCTGAAAAAATATTAAGAACTGAC